GGTCTCATCAACAAAACTCCAAAGACGGGTTGTGCTATATCGTGTAAATGGAAAATGAAAAACCGTGTGATGAGCTGCCAGGTGGCGTAGAGGGTAGCACGCTTGTGTTCTGCCCGTGAAGTCTCGGGTTTGATCCCCAGTCGGGTCGATGGATCCGCACTGCACTGATGAGACCCAACCAGGTTGAAACAGCTGTCCAGTGCTTTCGAGCTTTTCAGCCCACGCTTCATTTGCTATATACACGACGAATTTCCATTTGAGATTTATTTATTATTTAGATAGCAAAACTTGTCTACTTTCTCTACTACTCCCCCAGTTAGGGTGAGACTATGTGCTGGACCAATTCAATCGTGTTGTAGCATTTTACACTTTGAGGGTGCAAAACGCATACCCAGCATGAACACACTAGCACTTAAACTATCCAAAAACGCTTGCAACTTACCTGAATCTTCACTTAGTATCACAACGTCGTCTGCATACTCTAGATCTGCCACCTGGAAGTAGGTCGATATCGCTATCTTCGCACGAGGATAGGGCTGTTTTAAGAATCGAATCTATCACGAAGTTAAATAGAAACGAGGAGAGAGGGCATCCCTGTCGAACACCACTTTCCGTGGTTAACTCGAGCGAAAAAGTGCCGTAGACTCGTACTCGGCTTAGGCTATTAGTATAAAGCGATTGTCATATTGCAATTAACTTCTCGGGCACACCTTTCAGAAAAAGGCAGCGCTAGAGTTTATAGCGGTCAACTGAGTCGAAAGCCGCTTTCAGATCCGGGAAGATAGAAATGGTGGGTCTACGAAAGAAATATCTATGTTCTAGAATTTGACGAAGTGTGAAGATGTGGTCAATGCAGTCTCGACCAGGTCTAAAGCCAGCCTGTTTCTCACGCACCGTTCACGTGCGGCAGACAATCGACGGAGTATGATACCAGCAAGAAGTTTAGAGACGATGTTGATTAAACTAATTCCTCTGTGGTTTTCATAAGAGGATCCGTCACCTTTCTTGTAAATCGGTTTGATTACCAATTCACACTATTCAGTTGGAACCTCTTCCCTCTCCCACACTGAACTCAGGAGTTTTGTTAACTCCAAAATCAAGACTGGACCTCCATCCTTAAAAACGGATGGGGATAGCCCATCGGGGCCGGAAGCCTTATGCCGTTCGGGGTAACTTATTTCCGGGTAACGTCCATTTCAGATAGAGGTCTGATGTCAACTGGCTGTATTTGCACAGTTTAACCGGGTGGGGAAGGTCTTGTATCGAAGGGGACCAGCTGAACTGTGCCTTAAAATATTCTGCCTAACGTTAAAGACGGCGTTGCTGATCGTGAATCAGTGTACCGTAAAACTCCCTAATTACCTCACGCATTTTCCTTGGTCCTGTACTCCTATTTAACCGAAAAAGATCGCACGCTTCTCCATCTCTCTGCACTTCCCTACCCACCATTTCTCGCGGTCATTCCTCAGACTCTTGATGAGTTGACGTTTAAGGGATTTGCGCACTTTGTCTTATTTTGAATCCGAAGGAATAGATCTGCTAGCGTCCAGCAGGGCAACCGAGGTCCGGGAGATCCATCGTATTTTATTTGATCGTGCGCCAGAATTTACCGTTGTTTTCATCAACGTTTTTTATCGATCGCTTCCTTGATTGAGTCCTCCGACTGATGATTGAACTGAGAGGTGATCTGATAGTTCCGCCTCGAAGGCCGTTTTGCAACTGTTAGTGATAATGTATTGTAGGCATCCGTTTTCGGCGGCTTTTCTGCAGTTGTTTATCAGGCGTAGGGAGAATTTCGCTCGTAGCAGAGCATGGTCCGTGTCCACGGGTGTTGAACAGTAGGAGCAGCAGTCTTCAATGGATCCTCTCCAGTAGTGACTAATGGCGATGTGGTCGAGTTGAGTCCAGCGCTGTGAAGAAGTTGGCGGTCTCCATATAAGGCGGTGGCGCTTTTTGTGCGAGAAGTTCGTGCTTTACAGAAACAGTCCGTGATCGGCACAAAGTTGGAGTAAGCATTCTCCGTTGTCAGTCCTGTTGGCTGGAATGGCATACGAACCGCCAAGTAACCTCTCTGATTCGTCCAGGAATCCTACTTGAGCATTGAAGTCTCCAGCGACTACCATAATGTCCGTTGACCGAATAAGCATCAATGCTTTTTTCTGTAGTTGCTGACGCGTACCGAGACATCCAGACGTACGGCGCAAAGTCGGCTGTTAACCGGGATCCAATCGAACAGTGAACGCTCGGCCTTGACACTTAGCGCAATCCCAAAATCAACATCGCGAGCTTCGGATGCCGAATCGCCCGACACAGAGAATGAAGCCGGAGGATGAGGCTGGATCTGATGAACGGAGGGAGATGATTGAAGTAGGGTCCTGTATGCGTGTTTCGGAGACCCAGCATACGTCTAAATGGAAGGTTTCAAGGGTTCTAGCTAAGGCAGCTTGTTGACCGATCTGGTAGAGTGTATGGACATTGAACGCAACTAAGTAAAAAGGGGATTTTGGTTTCAAAAATCTGGTAATCTCTGACTTTAGGGCACGGCATACTTCGCAGCGGCCCACACCGACGAAGGGGTTTTTCTTTGGGAACCCTAATGGGAGCCTTTGACTCAAAAGTCTGACTCACAGGGCAGTGTGGCGTAAATCCAACGCGGGAGCGTGAACGAAGTTTTCGTGTGGGAGCTTTTAGAGACCTGTCACGCAAGGCTTTTGAATTTCGATTAATTGTGTTGTTCGCTGGTGCGTTGATTGTCGGTCCTCGTTTCGGGATCGGCCCTTAGCCTGATGCACCCAATGAGACGAGCGGAACGTGGAAGGGGCAGTAGCTTATTAGCTGGGGGCCGGCCAGCTTTGGCGTTCGGTAGCTGTCCAATGAAGTGCGAAGACTTCTCCCACCATCGAGAGGAAGCCCCAGGTACCCCGCTCCTACGTCCATCTAGCGGGGTTTTCTTGACCGGTAAACTGCCCCTCACCGTGTTTATTCGCTGGAGTGACGTTTTCAGAGGCGGGTGTGGATAGAAGAAGGAAGCCATGAGTTGCCCAAGCAGCTGGCTTTGTGAGCTTTGTCTGGCCTCTATCCGTTGACCTTTCAGGTATGATTGGATGTACGGGTGTGAAAAGCCATCCTGTGTTTCTCGCAGGGTCATGGAGTCACGCGAGCCATCACACTACGTCAAAGTGCAGGCTCGTCGTGATGGGCACCTAAACAGCCCTTGATTCGACCGGTATTTACCGATCTGAGATATCTGTTGATTTGCTCTAAATAGGGAAGTAATAGAGCAACTGGATTAATTTTGCCATTTTAGCAAGTGTATCTCACCCGGCGGACGCATCACGGATGAAGTATAGGTACGTGTACAAAA